TTTTCTAAGAAAACTGTATTAAATAAAAGGATACATAGATTTTGTTTTAGGTATATTTGTATATTATTGCGGTCTACGAGTTCGAGGATTTGGAGTAATTAATGACAACACTTGATGAAGAATCAAAACACAACTTATTCTTCAGTAGTCACTATTACACAGGACAGTTCCAAAGACGCGTTTACACTCGTCGAAAAGCTACAATAAAGATGCCGAAACAATCATGAACACAGCTTTCAGGCTATAACGGTGAAGAGAGCTTCACGGCAAAGCTCTAAAGTACAGCCCCCGACTCGGTCGACCTCTCTCACGCTAATCTCTGAACTCAAGATATTACTTTCTCCGGTACAGGCACAATATGTATAACTTTAACATACTTTTGAGAATATTCATGAGAAAACCGCTAAGAATGCGTCAATCCCTGTGTATGACATGTTGCTAAATAGGCGATTTCGCGCCAAATTTGGCAACCCTGCCCTTAACCTGCCACTTTCTAGCAACCCATAGTCCACCACTTAGCTCTCTCCCCGAATTTCGCACCAATATGTTAAGTTTAATAAGCGCAATCGACCAAATCGGGAGCTGTATTTAGTGGTTGCCGTGAAGCTGTCTTCACCGTTGTAGCCTGAAGCGTGTTTATCATAGTTTTTCGATGACTTTAAACGTGTCTTTGGAACTCTAGTAAATAGTATTTTGATTCTTCATCAAGGTGTCATCCACGAAACCGTGGAACACAACAAATATGTCAAGCTATTTATAGTCAACTTATTAGTATATTGATAATTCAGAAAAGGTGTATAAAATTGTGAGTACTTTGAATCTTAAATGTTAATGAAAACAGATTTAATATTTTGTATTATAATAATTTAGTTGCATTACCTTTATAAATGTATTGGATTCTGATCCGTTTTAAGAGACACTGTATAATTTCTTAGCTATTCCTAATGCAATTTTTTAGTTAGCTGCCTGGCATAGTAACTGTGTTTCTCCCAGATTTTATTACTGTTTCGATATTATTGACTTTTAATTGTTTCATTTCTATTTGATATCGATTGTTTATAATATTCATATTTTATTCTTTGCACTACTACATTACATAAACTGAAGTATAGGATGCCTCAAAGAGGGAAAAGTCTGGGGAAGTTCCTATTTTTCATAGCCAACATAATTTATGACTAATGGTGGACATAAGCGTAGCAAAATAGAATTATTTACGTCATTTGACAATAATAGAACAAAAGAAATATCAAAAATGCATTTTTTTGTTGTTACAATGAGAATCATGTAATTAAAAAGGAAATAAGTAGCTTTTAAGAATTGAAATTATGAATGCTATACTATCACAAGAAATAGGACAAGAACTAAGCAATTTTGAAACTTTTTTCTCCAATCCCATTAAAGTAGTCCCCTTCCTTCATTTATTCACTGATCCTGTCACTTGCTACCTGTTTAAGATTCTCACTGGGTGCTGCATTTAATGGATGTGTGTCTACCATCCTTCGCCGCTCGATTCGAAATTTCTCCTTTGCCTCAAAGCATTCGATAAACGCAAGAGGCTTCATCCATAACTATGATTCTGAGATGAAGCAACGGGCTTCGGAATGGAAAGTAGCGAGTAACCAAAAGGATAAAAGAAAATCAATTTTAAAACTAAGACGATATTGGCAGTCTTTTTATTTGAATGGGATTATCGCAAAGAAATTTTCCCCCAGATCAAGCAACCAGAAAGGTATTTTACTGTAATGTGTGTGTGTGTGTGTGTGATTAGGCAAAGCCGAGGGCGAGGCTAAGGGAGATGCCTTCGTGGAGACTCCTAAGGAAACTGGTCGTATACACGTACACATGGGAAAACCACGAAACAACATCAGCCAGCCCGTTCGCGGGATTCGAACTGGACAGAATACAGTGTGTTCAGCGACTTTACCGCTCGGCCGCTGGTGGGATTTTACTGTAATGCTTTCAGGCGGCTAAGCTACAGGCGACAATTAATGTATTTTAATAGTAATTATTTACATATATGTAATTATCTTATAAAGCTATTAAGTGTTTTTGGAAGCAGAAGTCGTGAAAAATGTGCAATGGCCTCGCTAGGACTCGAACCCGGACTTTTAAAATACGAGCCGAGTGTGCTAACAATTACACCACGAAAGCATGCAGAAAGGAGGAAGAAAATACCCTTTAATGGGTGACTGGGGATTTGGGGACCCAATCGCCAAATCCTGGTGGTGAAGTATCATCATTCCACCACCTTTTAGTTCGGGGGTCACTGTAGAGATATTCAGTTTTTTGGAAGCAGGAGTCGAGGAAAATGTGCAGTGCCCTCGTCGGGATGCGAACATGGACCTCTTGAATACGCGCCGGGTGTGCTAACTGTTACACTACGAAGACATGCAGAAAGGAGGGAGAAATTTATAACCGCAACAGAATTCGGTATCTGTACATTTGCATTAGTGATACCCGCATAAACAATATTTAGGACTAGTTTATGCTCTTTAAAGAGTACTGTATACACATGTTTTTATGTAAAAAATTATAGTGTCTATGACAAAAATTCCTAATATTCGGTTACATGAAGAATGTGAATTTGAATGATTAGTCGGTTTGCACACAGTGATCATGTTTCATACCCAGCCCATTGCTCCACTCCCTCTTCAAAAGTATTACTCCTTTTATAAATCACCTTCCAATTTTAATTCTTTCGTCCGTTTTCCCTTACAAAGGCAAACTTGACAGGAAAACTTGGCTTGAAAAAATAACAGACTTGACAGACAAACAGACAAAGACAGAAGCATCAACTAAGGCGGTAAGAAATAGTTATAATCATCGATAGCACTTAATTAGACCGACAAGCCTAAGCGGACTGGCTATCTTGTCCGCGAAGGAAAGAAAGGCTGTTGAGCGAAATAATGACTCTTTCACACGCTTAAGAAAGGGAACTATGCTTCATCATCAAATAAGCCATAGAGTCCGCAGGACCGAGAATTTTGGAAAAAGAAAATTCTTGATGTCCCTCCAGATTTAAGTTCTGAAGACTGAACTCAAAATTTTAAAAAATGTTGTTAAATAATAAAGTTGAGTCTATAAACTTTTGGGACAGAGTGCATCTTCGAATATGCACACACACACACACACACACACACACACATATATATATATATATATGCATACATCATGCATGTTTGCTTATAAATACATATATGTGCACCTGATTCAATCTGTTCTAATATAGTACACATCTGTTGCATATGTGTGTGTGTGTGTAAAATTTAAAATATGTAACTCAAAATTATTAATCTTCATATAGCACAAATTCTTTTAATTCTGCATTTTAATTTGTCTAGCTCCCCTTTTCTGCTCTAAATTGTTCTCAATAATTTTTCTGGACTGCGTCTTTCCAAATTTATTCGTTCATGCTTACTTATGTACTCCTCCTGCCTTGCGGATGGCTCTCATCGCGTTTAAGAACTCAAAGTTCAAACAAAGGAACCAAGCATTTAAATTGCTTACTGCGCATCCCTTTTTTTATGCTTCTCCTTGCTGCTAGCCACGCAGAGTTTGATTTTAGCTTCGTCCTTTAGACGCAGAGTTTGGTTTAAGAAGAAGGTGTAAGCTGTACAAAAACTAAGACGTGCATCTCGCACCTATAAATGATACTGTGTGAGTCTGTTTATACGTATCAAGGCTTGCTCTATTGTGAAAAAAATTATGTTTTCAAATCAGTGGATACGTCTGAAAGCTTTTCTTTTTCGTTCTCTCAAGTATCCATGCAGCTGTTTTTCTAAACTCAAGAGATGTCTGCACAGAATTCAGACATATATAGGTATACTAAATTAGCATTTTTTCACAGTAATTCTTATACTAAATTAGCTTTTTTTCACAGTAATTATTATACTAAATTAGCTTTTTTTCACAGTAATTCTTTGTTTATATATTCAGAGTAATAAGTTGTTACCTATTAAGAGCAATAAGAATGTAACACATGGTATGCCTATATATATGCATATAAATTTAAATATTAATCTTTTTATTTACGAGATTTATTACTCGTATGATTATCTATTAGGAAATGATTGTTAAAAATTGATTGTTGATTAAAAATTTGTTGCTTTAAAAATGTTTAACAACTTTAATATACAAGCTTATACTTTAATATGCTTGTATAAAGGGTATGAATTGACCACTCGCGAGATGTATATCACAGGTAATGCAGAGATAAATTACATATTACGTGAATAAATGTTTATACTATTGAGTCAATAGCATATGTGTACAGAAATATTACTGTAAATTGTATTCTGAAAGAAGTATGAAAATTAGAATCCAAAGGAAGACTTATATTCAAATCAAAATTGATTATTTATCCCCATAAAAGCAAGATTCATAACTCATATTCTGGTAATTGAAAACCATTAAACGTAGAATGCTATTAATCACAATGCTATACCTCTGTGTAATGAATATTCGTAATTGGGACAAAAGAGAGCATTTTTAAACCAAACTTTAACCATTTATTATAATCGGCTACAGAATGACTTTGCCCAGCTCTCTCTCAGTTTTGATAACACTCGCTGCGACTGAAATCGAAGACCTCATATCCTCTCTTTTCATACTATCAACCTCTCGAGAACGATTTTGGTCCGTCGGATTGAAAGTACCCTCGTGACTCAAAAACAATATATGCAAATATAGCGGATGAATTTCCGATCAGCAAAATAAGTCCCACTTGGGAATTATCATTAGGATAAAAACTAGTTTTAGCCTGTTCGCTACGAATATAAGTACACTAAATTGCATAACATTTATGATTATGTATGTAAGTAATAATTAATAAATTCTTTCAATGAAATGTTATATAGATTTCAGATGCTGTCAGTGAGAATGTTTTTTTGATGTAAATTGATGTAAAATAACAATTGTCTTAAATTGTAAAAAAAAGTAATATTTTATAGGCATATTTTGAACTGCATTGAAAGTAGTTAAATTGACGAATTTCTTTTCAGGAACTCTATTCAAGCTCTTGGACGCCAACAATAGTCGCTTTGATCGTCGTCATTGGCTCTGCATTGTCAATCATCACCCTGTCACTTTCGCTTTTCATCTTCTTTTACTTCAAGTAAGTGACATTAATATTTCATAGAAATACTATACAGCATTCTAACCTAACTAACAGCCTCTCGCGTGCAATGCGAAGGATACTTGAGTCAATATTTTAATAAGAACCTGAAGAAATTTCGAGAAGGGAAAAATAAACCTTAAAAAAGGTCAGAAAATATTTCTTCTTCAAAGTTTCTGATTTGAATTTAATTGAACGATTTACTAAATATAGTACAAGCAATATAAGTTCAGAGTTAATAACTATTTTTATGGATATTTTTTGTTTATAGTATTATATTTGAACTCATTTAGAATTAAAGAATTAGAAAAATTTCCTTTAAAATTATTTTTTCATTTAAATCACATAAAAGATTTAGTATGAATTTGGGATTAAAAAACTATGGATTAATCTTAACTTTAGAGAGTGAGGGCGATATCGAAACAACCTTACTTTATAAATATTGAAATCAGCTACATTCTTAATTAACAAAAGCCTTTGCAATTGTTTCGAAATTAATATTTCAGTTCTAGGGTTGGCCAAAATTGTAACCCCAAACTGAAGATCAAATTTTCTATGGCAGGTCTCAGACATGTGGCACTTGGTGATACCTTCTCTTATTCTGGATAGTAAAAAATACGTCATTAATTAGGAAATGGCCGAAATTTATCCAGAGTATATGGCAAGATGATTACATAATTTATTGAAACATTTTTCACTTTTTAGCCCAAAGGGGCTATTTGTGCGGAAGGGCTATTAATTTTGTTTCGGCATTTTGCGTTGGTTCACTATAAATGGCGTATCACTTTTCAAATCGTTGTCACCGAATATTAGAGCCCTGCATTATATTTAAAGAAATTAAATAATGAAGAATCTGCGTGAATGTATGTATGTTTTTTGCACTGTGAAAAAACGACGGTATCTAGATACATCAAATTTTGAATAACTTATTCCTCCACTCAAGTATGGTCATCTGAAAGCACAAATTTGGAATTTGTTTTATAATCTATTTCATATTTTATAAAACTTTAATGAATTTTTCATTAACAAACTCAACGATTTCAAAGCGAGCAATGACAACACTGAAAGAAATAAACATTAACTCCAGCTCGAGAGGTTGTATATCGGAAATTCTTAAGATATTCTGTTTTTAATTATTTTATGATATTGTTAATGAATTGAATTTTATGGTTTAAGTGCGATGAAGAGGATGTTAAATAAATAAAGGTAACAGATAAAACGTTAAAAAACGGGCCTTTGGGCGTAATATAAAATCTGAAAGCTTTCAAAACAAAATCTTTTTTTATTATTATTTTTATAGTTTTTTTTTTATTATTATTATTTTTTATTTTATCAAAAGCTTTTAGCACTGCGTTAGTTAAAACTATCTGTTCTGTAAATGAGCATACCTACTTATAGGTAAAGAAAATAGATTTATTATATCAAGAACACTGATTTCATGTTCTACTATTTTTGCATACAAATGAATGCTGACATTGTATTTTAGGAAATGTATTTACATTTGATAAATAAAAAAAATCAGAAATAGTTTTCTGTTTTCATTCCTTTCTAATGAAAAACATTGTCATTTTTCTGAGTAAAAATTATCCTCTTTCTGCATTTACTTGTTTCGGGCTCTAAATGTTTGTCTTTTGCAATCTTCTATTACTTAAGAAATCAGTTATTTGAAAGTTGTTGTCAGTGAGAATGTTTTTCTTTTTTGTTAGTATGCAGTGGGCACAAACGAAATAATTATGCTTTGTTTGCTGCTTCCTGTTATCCCATACAACTTTGACTACTTATTAACTACAAATTTTGCTTGATTCACTCATAATTCAATTTCCTAATTATCTTCTCTCCTATTAAGAAATTTTGTTGTTCTACCTACATCAGATTTTAATTCTTGAGTAAATTATAACATTTGTGCCTCCCAGACAGGAAAGTGGTTAGTGACCCTGGCCAACATACCAAAGGGCCCGGATTTGAATCCTGGAGTAGGTAATGGATGTGAATTCTCTACCCTTTCATAGGAAGCAACGGTGGCCCACCTATTAGGTTTTAGAGTCATTAGAAACATTAGGTTATATTTGAAAAAGGAAGAAGTGAAAAATCAGCAGTGCCTTCCCCGGGAATCGAACTACGAACCTCTGCAATACGCGCCCAGTGTGCGGACCACTACACTACGAACGCATGCTACGAAGGTGGGAGAAATATTTTATATACCCCTCTTTTAAAGGGAAACAGGGGTTTTAGGGGACCCAGTCGCCACATCCTTGTGGTGAAGAATTATCATTCACCAGCTTTTGCTTTGGGCGCTACTGTAGACATTAGATATTTTGGAAGCAGGAAATATGTGAGAAATGAGCAAAGCCTTCGCCGGGAATCAAATCACGAACCTCTGGAATACGTGCCCAGCCTTCAGACCACCACACCGTGAAGGCTCGCTAAGAAGAAGGCGGGAGAAATACCTTATATACCCCCTTTTAAAGGGCGACTAGGATTTTTTAGGGGACCCAATCGCCAAAAATCCTGGTGTGGAGAATGACCATCCACCACCCTTTTAGTTCGGGCGCAACTGTAGCAACATTAGGTTATTTTTGAAACAGGAAGAAGTGAAAAATGAGCAACACCTTCGCCGGGAATCAAACCATGGACCTCTGGAATACGCGCACAGCGTGAAGACCACCACACCACGAAGGCATGCGAAGAAGGAGGAAGAAATACCGTATACATGTGCAAAAAAATTTCGTTAGTGCATAAAACGATATTTATTAATTCAAAGCAGGTATATTTTTAAATATAGCTGAGGATAATAGTTTTGCATTTGCTGAGGATAATAGTTTGGTAGTTGCTAAGGATAATAGTTTGTTAATAGTATGTAATCTAGTTTTGCAAAATTGGCTCAAACTAAATTTAAATTCAGTTCATTGCATATAATCTATTAATTTATGTATAGGATATAAACAATCCAAGTTCAACCAGAATGCTTTCCTCGACCACAGCTTTCACCACAGGCGAATAGTTTTAATGGAATTATCCATAATTAAATAGCTTGGTATAATTAAGCTTGTTCAAATAAGTGCTGAAATTGTCACAAATGGTCAACCTGTTAAAGAGCTTGGATAAATATTAGACGACTGAACACCGGGCAAGTTTATGATAACTAATTGCAAAACAAAATATCGCAGAAATCGATAACATAAATAACAATTAAAGATCTCCAGCTGAGAATTCAAACCAACATGATCAGAGGAATCGTTCTTAGTAATGTGGTAATAGTATAATAAGAATTCCTTGATTTCTAGGAAATACCACACCACTGAACGTGCTCGATTTAGAGAGAACTCACATATCACTACTTAATTCTTCCACCGCTGCATATCTGCCAAACATAATCAAGCATTTCCCACTCGCCTTCTCTTTAATCAGTTCGATTCTAACTTCCTGAACGCACAGTATTCGAGACTGAAAATCTTCTGCAATTCTCGTGGGATTTGCCACTTAGAAAGATGTTGAATTCTACTAGCATACTAATTTACAGTTACGCACTTATATTTGCATTTGCCAGGCATCGCTTGTCTTCATGTCTGCATGCATAACAATGTCCATGTGTTTCGAAATCAAATGGAACACAAAAGAGTCCAATGACTAACATAATATAAACATTACAAGTTACCAAAGTTTTAAATTATTTATTAGATTTATACAGTAACCAGAATTTATATTTAGAATTTTATTTAGAATGTTTATATTAGTAAGAAATCTACATCTTGCTTCCTCCATTACCTGCAATCTCCATTACCATTGATATAATTATTATTAGGATACTATATGTTCTGTAATATATATAAAATGGACACATTAAACCCCATTATAATGATTCTGTAACACTTCGGTCCTTTGTTTGTTTTCAGATAAGAGATTCAATTTTTCGTCTATCCCATTTACAATTATCCTAATTGTAGATAACAATGATAAATGATTATTGCAATTGCAAAGTGGAAATTATGCATAACTACTATACGCGCAGTATGTATAATTATGGACATATTCCGTCCAATATTCCAATGATTTTGCAACACTTTGGCTATACATATTTCTCTCAATTAAAAAAAACTAATTATCCATTTATCCCACTTATAATTGTATTAATTTCAGCTGAGACATCAATATATTTAACACTTAAATAATAAAAAACGAAAGAAGGAAATTATAAAGAAGAAAGAATTCTAACAGTTCTATGCATGAATATTTCAGTTAAAAAAAATCAGATTTTGTATCAAAAGTAGAATAGTTATAAGTGAAATGAAAACGAAATTTTCATGAATGAAATACAAACGAAATTAACATCTTCTAATAAAACTTTCCCAATCTTACTTTTATTTATTTGAATAATCGTATATTTGAATTGTGGACTGAAAGTTAACTTTAATTTCCTTTCAAACTACTTTTTAAATAAAATGGTTATAGAATTTCATATCCTTGGGTGATTACATGATCCTCGTATTTTTAATCAGCAGGCAGACAAAATCAGAAGAAGGTTAAATTGTATTATTTTATTCAATTATTCAAAGAATTAGCAGTCGACCTCAATTGGGTTTACATAAGCCAACACTTTTGACTTAACGTATACTAGTAATGTTGAACTTAAACTAACGTATAATTATACTAGCTTAACGGCTCACAGGATAAAGTAAACACGCAGGAAGGCTCTGGATTGTACAAGACGGCGAGACACGCTTAATGGCTAGAAGCACCCAACGCCACAGAATCAAATCGCTATTTAGTCAAGGTAATAACGGGCCTCAAGTAGGCAGAACACGCTCTAAAATCACCTTGCGAAACCTTCGCTTAAAATAGCACTACTTTCTCCCTTAATCCGAATAAACTCCCGCTATTTAATTTACATTCTGGCAAGAAAAGCTTGGGTGAAAGGGAGAGCCACAGGAAAATTGGCTTAACTGAAGTCAAAATAAATAAATAAATCCTCACACGATAATCTTATTTTAAAGTATTTGAAA